AGAGTGTAATGACATAGATCAATAACCCTTACCAATGCTACAAAGACGTAGACACCCATGATGTCCCTGTAGACGTTCTTGGGCAATGGTATGCCCTCGCTTGGATATGCCTGGACACTCAGGTAGAGTTGTAGGAGGCCTCTGGACTGGCAGTCCCCTGCCTACAGTGTCTTCTGTCCCTGCTGTCCCTGTGTTCTCAGCATATTGTGGTGACTTTCTGTTGCAGGAAAGTTAGGACCCACACATTTTAAACAAGGGACTTCTGGGTAAGGGTTACATTTAGAGAGAGCTTGGACTGTAGGTAAAATCTGTCTGAATCGTGGTTCACAAAAGAGCCTAGGTGGTGCTTAAGGAGGGCAGCCACATTCTGATTCCTACAGGGAGAGGACTATGACAGAACCTGAGACTTGGATGAGATGGCGTGGTCCCTGCCCTCAGTTTCAGCAGTCAGTGGGTGAGAATGCTGTCAGAGGAAGGAAGGTGCAAAGTAGACAGTTGGAACTGGGATCATGGTGATGGGAGGGCTCCAGACTGGAGAGTCAGGCTTGAAGGAGTCTGCAAGGAATGCCTGTTAGATAACCCAGTGGGGATCTGGCAGACAGGAGCGCAGAGGGCGGAGGGGTCAGAAGCTGGACCAGGGGAGAGTCCTGGAGAACTGAAAAGCAAAAAAGATTAGCAGGTAGTAGAACTGCTATGTCTCTGAAAAGACCTCTAAAAAGGAAGTATGGGTCAGTGGGTAGAGACCCCCAGAGGACAGGAAGCCACACCACTTATAACATAACCCTGGACTTTGCAAGGAGGGCTCCAGATGGTCTCTGAAGATTCATCTCAGCAGTGTAGGAGGAGGCCCAAGGCAGCCTCCTGAGACATGTCTGAGGAGGAACGGAAAGGAAGACAGTGTCTGTGGATACCAGGATGGCTTGTGGTGCACAAGAGGCAGGAAAATAAACTGAGTGAGGAGGGACCACAGCAGCAGAGAGACTTGAACTTCCAAGAAGCAGTGAACAGGGAGGGATTGGGGTGAGAAGACCTGAGAGTACAGGGGATGATAAGTTAGCGGGTTCTGTCAGGCTTGTGTTCTGTGTTTTCACACCTGAGCAAAGGGCTATAAAGAATGGGCCACAGAGGCTTCAGACCCTAGTTCAGCACTCCTCCTGCCATGTTGCACTGCCTCTCAGAGGTCTGCAAGTTTAGAGACTCTGCTGACCTTGGTTCCACCTAGAATGGGCAAAGCATCTCCTTGGTCATGGCTACAGCATCTTCAAAGCTGAGCTACAGGCAATGGTCTTTTCCCGAAGAGCTCAGGTAGCTGCCCCTCTGTGAGCAGTGCGTGTTGGTGAGTAGGTACTCCTGTTATCTGGTTTTTCACACTAGCTCTGTGGTCTTGGGCCCTAAGCCTCAGGTTTCCTCACCTGTAGAATGGGATGTGGTTGGTACTTGGACCACATAGGAGGAAGCTTGAATGGTACAGTCTAAGTACTGTTTACCACCTGCTTTGACTTGTTCCCTTAAATATCATATTACTCTTGGGATTAAAAATAAAAATCCTAGCCGGGCGGTGGTGGCTCACACCTTTAATCCCAGTACTCAGGAGGCAGAGGCAGGCAGATCTCTGTGAGTTCGAGGCCAGCTTAGTCTACAAGAACTAGTTCCAGGATAGGCTCCAAAGCTACAGAGAAACCCTGCCTCAATAAATAAATAAATAAATAAATAAATAAATAAATAAATAAATATAAAAATTAAAAATTAAAAAAATCCAAAATAAATAAATAAATAAATAAATAAAAATCCTTCACCAGCTGGTCCCTCTTGCTTCCCTCTCAAGCACACTGTACCTGTACTGACTTCATGTTTTTAACAGTTTCCTGGATGTACTGAGCTCCATCCCTGCAGGTCCTTGCCCCTGAGACATCCTTTTCTACCCATCACATATCCCATTTACCCAGCATGGTGCTATGGGCATCTCTAGTTGGGTGGATCTGGGCTGGAGAAGAAAGCAGGCTAGGCAAGTTAAAAGGAGCAAGTCAGTGAGCAGCAATCCCCCATGTGCTTTAGTTTGGTTCCTGCTGCCTAATTTCTTGTCCCCAAGCTACTGCCCCAGCTTTCCTCAATGATGGTCTACGGTAAGCTAACATTCTACCTGTAAGCTCAAATAAACCCTTTCCCCCTCTGAACTGCTTTTTGGCATAACGTTTATCACAGCAACAGAAAGCAAGTTAGAACCCTCCCATCCCCCAAGAGAACTCATTCCTGGCTTCCTCATCACAGACCTCTGGTTTACCCAACTTTGTCATTTTCTCATTTCCTTTAGGACATCTTTCTGTCATCTTCCTTTCAATCCTGTGGGTAATCGATAAGTGTTTGTGTTCACTTTCCATGCTGGACCATAAACTTATAGCACCTAAGAGTCAAATAGTTGTTTATATCCGTTGTTTTAGTTTGAAATCCTTTCTATAAGAGACAGGCCTTGAGTACTAGTTTTGAACATTAGCCATCACAACCTTGCACCTGCAGGTGGGTACACCTGTGCTGATCCTCTCAGGAGTTCACACCTATGGCCAGGCCTAGCGATTGGTGAAAATCAGCGCTTTATTTTTCAGAATTTATGCCTGTCTTGTTACTATACAATGAACGCCAGAGGTCATTGCATGGGATTAGCGAATGCTTGCTGTGCAGTGTCTGGACCTCCCAGTGCAGTGTGCACACACCAACTTCTGGCCAGTGGTTTAATGTCACTCTGGGTATGGTTGAGTTGCAAGGAGCCCTAAGGGGATGAGATGGACACTAGTCTGCTGTATGCCCCAGTCACCTCAGCCTGCCACTCAAGATCCTTACCTAAAAGGGTTGTAACGCCTGCTTTGGATGAGCTGTGTCACCTGATCCTGACACTCAAGTTCAGCTCTTGTGTGCCACCAGCACCATCTTGCTGCTTTATTTGGATACTGTCACATACTCACGTGACCGCATTGTCAAGCGTGTGACTACGAGGGCTGAGATGAGCTAGGACCTCCTGCAGACTCTAATGCAATGTCCAGGCATGTTGCGTGGGTTTCATGGGCATCTAGGACTGTGTTGTGGTTAATATTGAATGTCAACTTGACAGGGTCTAGAATTACCAAGCTGACAAGCTCCTGAGCTTGCCCGTGAAGGGTTATATTGATTAGGTCAGTCTCTGGGCATGCCAGCAAGGGCTTACCTTTGTGGGGTTAGTTGACGTGGGCAGCTCCATGCTTACCAGGCTTGTATCCTGAACTGAATAGAAAGGAGAATTCCACCTGAGTAGCAGCCTTTGCCATTCTGCATCTTGACTGTAAATGTAACACGACCACCTACCTCAAGCTCCTCCTTCAGTGGCTTCCCTGCCATGATGGACTAAACGCTTAAACTGAGAGCCTGAACGAATGCTTTCTCATGGAGTTGCGTTGTCGGGGTGTTTTCTCCTAGCAACAAGACGAGTAGCAGATGCAGACTCTGTGAAAGCACAGCACCGGCGTGTAAAGTGCTTACATGGGTAATATCATATTGCCTTTATCCCTGTGTTAGGAGCAGCAAGGATACCGTGGGCTCAGTAACATTAGGGCTCTAGGCCCATCATAGGCCAAGATGGCTTCTATGTGCTATAGACTAGGTCTATGAGATACACAGGAGTGGGTAGGGTGTATTGGGAGAAAGTACAAGGGATGCAGAACTGATCCCAGAGAGACAGGCTTTACGACATGCAGAACGAAAGATAGGATTTTTGAGGGAGGATGAGCCCAGTGAGCAAAGGTGGAAGCGTGGACCAGGAACATGATGTTCATGATCAGGAAGATCAGGGGAAGCAACTTGATGAATGTACCACAGTATCTTCTGAAAAGTGATGGGATCCGATGTGCTAGCCCAGGGCATCCAGACATGGGAGGGGAGGGGATTCATGCATTTAAGTGACCTTTAAAGGGAGAGAGTGCGGAGTGGAATAGAGGAACCCAGAATCTGAGGCATTGCCCTTTGGCCTTTTTTCCATTAAGATTCAGTATGCCAGGACTGACAAAGGAGACGTTCCACACTCATTTCTCTCTCCACTGTCAGGTGTGTACTGGAGACTTCATAGCGCTAGGCCAGCATTGATGTTCTCAGGGAATGAGGGCCCATGTGTCCTCATCAGGATGAGAGTCTTGATGAACAAACACTCTGTGTGCCATTAGCACCTTGTCACCATAACACAGGGGCCACATAACAGGGTCCTGGTAACCATCTTCTATAGTAGATACAGTCTCCACCCCACTGTGCTGATGGACTTGGGCCAAGTAATGGTACAAGATCCAGCAATAAGTGTTAGAAAACAGTGACATTTAGACATAGTTCTGTGAATGCCCATCTCAGTCTCTCAGTACACCGCAAGGAAACTGCCTTTGTAGGTGAACACTTAATAACACTGCCGGGGAAAACAACCTTTTCCAACCCTTTTCAAGACTGAGGTATCACTCGCTACATACCGTAAAACCTACCCTTTTGAAATACGAACTTCAGTGGTTTTCAGTAAGCTAACCAAGTTGTGTAACCATGCTACAAATTCAAGAATATTCTCACCACTCAAAAATGAAAAACTGCAGTCATTAGCTGTATGCCTGTCCCTCTTGGGCACCCGGTAGGGCACTTTGTGATGTCCAGATACTTTGACTAAACAGACTCACATCTCTGTTTTCTTTTATATGTAGCTTTTCCCATGTAGCATCATCTGTGCTACATTGTAGCATGTGTGAGGACTTCATTCCTTTTTGAATAATACTCCATCATATTAATATATCACTCTTTATTCGTTCATCACATGGTGGTCGTTTGGGTAATCATTACATTGAAGCGTTTATAAACAATGTTGCTACAAATACGGGTGCACAAGGCTTTGTGTGGATTCGTGCTTTCATTTCTCAGAAATATCTGTTAGCTGTTTTGGAAGAATCTGGACAACATTAAACTATAAGAGATCTCCTTTGCACCCTTCTTCCTGTGATTGTGTCTAGTTCCCACTAGTGGCTGACTTGTTCCATGATGACAAGGACTCTGTTCCTGCCACCAGCACAGCTAAGAATCGATCAGCTTCAAAGATCAACATTCGCTCCTCCAGACCCCCCGTGAAGGTCTCCAACAAGGAGCATAAGAAATCCGTGGGCTACCAGGTCAGTCCTAGTCCCAGGCCTGTGGCTTGTGTAGCAGGGCTGGCGTGGAAGGGACCAGCAGAAAAAAGATGGGGACAAGAAGCAGGGTCCCACTAAAGGTCTCCAGATAGAGTGGGAAGAGGGGGCTTAAATAAACCAGGGAACATCCAACTGAAGAGCTCACTTTCTCGTATGTCTCCAAAGAGAAGGCCCTGGTAATCCCACCTACTGGATTTGTCGATTTGGGACGTCTTATGTAAACCCCACCATTTCCCGCATGTTTGGGTACAGGCGGTACAACCGCGTTCCCCATATTTAGAGACATCAGGCCTCTAACATACAGTAGGAAGATCTCTTGTCTCTTAGCACTCATGTTTTATCTCTTGCCACCCCTATCAGTGGGAGTTGGGCACATTATGGAGTAGCCCCTCACCCATTTATTTTAAAGAGCCCTACTATCAAAGGACTCAATTTTGCTCAGCAAATTACAAGTGTCGGTCACTGAATGTCTTCCTTTCTCTGTCCTTTTGAATTAATTGTCGTAATAATAGTGATTTCTGCTGCCACCATGGACAGAGCAGTCACTGGCATGCTAGTGTTTCTTCACAGTGCATTGAACAGACTGTTAAATATGACTAATGCCTGGTTTTGTCCCTGCAGTTCCGCACTTCCCTAAATCTCCTAATGGAGACTCTGAACGCCACAACGCCACACTACGTGCGATGCATCAAGCCCAATGACGAAAAGCTCCCCTTCCAGTAAGTGCCTCCAGGTGTAGCCACCCCAGCCTCCTTATCCTGCTTCAGAATCAGTGGGAACTAGGCGGGCTCAGCCTTGCTGCCCTCTACAGAGTCATCTGCTGGCCAGTCAGTCACTTCCCAAGTGGGCTCCCTGCTGAGCCCAGCCCTCTCGAGAATTATTTTCTGATGAGACCAGCTCCAGGCATGGTGTGTAGGGCCCATGAGAGACTTCTCCCACCCTACAGTTCTCCCAGAATATCACCATGCTGCCTTAGGATATGAGGTATCCTCACTCCGCAAGCCATGCTCTGGCCACCACGGCAGGGCCGGGTCTCAGAGCTGGGGTGTATAGTTGTCAAAAAGTGTTATACAGAATGGACAAGAGTGAGGAAAGGTGTGAGCTGCTAAGAAAAAGAATGGCCCTTTTTAAAAAGGAAGAAGGAGCCGAGCAATAGTGGCTCACGCCATTGATCCCAGCGCTTGGGAGGCAGAAGCAGGCGACCTCTATGGGTTCTAGAAAGTAGCATAGAGAATGGGGTTGTAGTGGTTGGGTACAGAGCCCTGGGACAAAAATCTAACAGAGCATCTATTCCGGCTGACTGCCCTAGAGTTAAGAGGAACAGAGCTGCCCCCTGAGGGCTTTCCCAGGATTGTGAGCAGCCCTCACACCTAAAATCAAGGGTCTGATCCCAGAACCAGGCTGCATATCAAAGTGGACAAAAGCACCTTGGGGCATGGCCTGGGAAAGGGTAGGTTCCAGGGGGGTGCTTTGTGTTTCCCTTTGTCTTCTAAGCCTCTAACACTGTAGAGCTTTGGTCCTTACAAGAGGCATTAAGTTATCAAGTAACTGCTCTCATCAAGACCACATAAAATTCAATGCTGAGTTGTCCCTTGTACACACAATATCACTAGTGACCTGAAGCCCTCTCATTTAGAGCTGGCATAAACAGGAAGAGAATTAGAGAAGCCAGGTTGGGGGTGGAGCAAGCAGTGTGAGGGAGATGAGGAGGTAGAAACAAGAATGGGCCTGAAGGAGAGTACATGTATTCTCAGACCTAGGACCTACACGGACTTGGAGCGTGCCTGATACCCAGTAACAGCTTAGCGTCATCAGTCTCCAGGAAGATGTCTTCTGAAGCTATGCAAGCTCAGAGGCACCGTTTGCCAGTGTGATGACTCACAAGGGAGGCTTGTGTGGCAAACAGCATGAGAAAGTTATTTGAGCCAGGCCAAGGGCGGGTCACACAAAGATGAGTAAACAGTCGTTCTTATAGAGAAGGAATGTGGGTGGTCATCCCTAGGTCACCTCCATCCTTGGATTTCCAGAATCCAGGTGAGCTGTGCAGCCATAAGAGAGCACCAGGGTGTCAGGGAGAGTGGCTGATGGCATACCCGGACTTTGTCCTGTGGGCTGCTGCAGGTCCCACCTGTCTTCATCTACCAGGGCCAGCCAGCCGCCTGCAGCCTCACCAGGGTTTTGGTCAAAGGCACTGTGCTCTCCAAGGCTGTGGGCCTCATAGGTCCTCAGTCTTGTTCTTTTATCTCCAGAGTACAAGGAACGAAAGAAACATAGCCCTTGGCTTCAGCTGAGCCACCGACAGAAAGAAAGGGCTTGCGTGATCTTCTCCGAGGGGAACAGTAGTCTCAGCAAATTCTAAAGAGTGACTAATTCTGAGTCAGTTTGGTTCTCAATAAGAGTTCTGGCTGTCCTGGTCCCCTGCTGTCTTTCCCCAGAGTTCCCTGCAGCACCTGCTTCCCCATGGAACTCACAGCATGTCTTGCAGTGTCCACCACTGAGCCCTGTCCTTTTCTCTCTCCTCGCCTCACACACAGGCTCTTAGAAAGTCTGTGTGGAGGGAAGAACTGAGGGCAAACTCTAGAGAGTGGACAGGTGTGCAGACCTCAGGGAGGCACGTGGGCAAAGAAAAAGATGGGATTAAGGATGTGCACAGTCTTAAGACTGCTAGCATGGCTCCTCCGCCCTTTCTCTGAGCTTCACCCCGACCTTGTGTGTGGCCATCTGTAGCTGGTGGCCGCAGGTGTCTCACGTGCTGCAGGAGCAGCGTGCTTTCCCTCCTCTCTCTTGCTCTCTCACCTGCCAGCATTCCCTTCATGGTATGTATTTACTTGGCAGCTTCGACCCAAAGAGAGCCGTGCAGCAGCTCAGAGCCTGCGGAGTGTTGGAAACCATTCGGATCAGCGCAGCCGGCTACCCATCCAGGTAATGTCACCAGTGATACTAGTGATGCCCTCCTCAGGCTGCTGGAGAGCAGCAGGGTATAGCGCCCCCCTGAGCCATGGTATGTGCAGTCAACCTGGTACAGCCTCAACCAAAGCTCCTGCACCCTGAAGACCCAAACAGGAGGCTGACAGAAAGGAATTCAGCCTGGCCTGAAAACATGGTAATCAGCAGGACCAGGCTTGGAGGAGGCATCTCAGATCTGGGTGATGGGCTACCTAGAGCTACAAAATGGGCTTCTCAGTCTTATCCTTCATTTTTTCCACCATTGTATTGTGGCAAAATATGGTGACAAAATATTTACTGTCTTTATTATTTCGGCTATACAGTTCAGTGGCATTAAGTGTAGCTGTTCTTACATCTCAATTCCTTTAATCATGTCAAACTAAAAGCACTCAAGACAGTTGGCTGTTTTAGTCTGTCTCCCGTTACTGCAACAAAATGCCTGAGTGAACAAGACTCTCCATGCAGACAGTTTTCAGACGGCCTTATGCTGGTCACAGTTCTGGTCTGAAAGCCCGAGGTTATGTAGGAAGGAGTAAAAGTATTGTCCAATAAGAAGAAGGAGAGTAACTGAGGTTCCACCGTCCCCTGAAGGTCAAACTCAATTGGCCTAACAACTTCTCCATAATCCCCCTTAGCCCTGCTTGCCTCATTGTTTCAATACCTCCCAACACTGCCATTCTGGGACCAAACTTCTAACCGAGGAGCCTTCATGGGACAAACCTTATCACACTGTGGTGCTGCGTTCCAATCCCTGCCCCAGCCCTTGCAGTCGCCCTCTCTACTTCTCCCTTTGACCAAAAGACATTAAGTCTTTCTACATACTGTCTTTGGGTGAATTCTAAATACTTCATCTAAGTATAATGATGTGGTACCTGTCCTCTTTGTGACTGGCCAATTTTCTGATATCCTTGAGGTTCTGTATTGTATTTTACATGTGATAGAATTTCCTCTTTGAGGGAATGGAGAGTGCTCAGAGGTAAAGAGCACTGACTGCTCTACCTGAGGTCCTGAGTTCAGTTCCCAGCAACCACTGGGAGGCTCATAGCCATCTAGAGTAAGGTCTGGTGCCCTCTTCTGGCATGCAGGCATACATGCGGACAGAACAATATATACATAATAAATAAGTGAATCTTTAAACAAACAGAAGAGTATGCTAGCACGCTTTACCTGTCGTCTCACCTAGTGTGGGCCTCTTCACCTTTCAGTGTGAAATCAGATCTATTGCAGAAAGTACTGCTTCTCCTAGCTAAGAATAGCTCTTGTGGAGACTGGGAAGATGTTACTCAAGAGTTCCAGCAACCCAGCATCAGAAGTATCATCAGTAAACCCATTGCTGGGGGCAGGGGCACCAGAGACAGGCAGATCTCTGGAGCTCAGTGGCCAGCCCCTCTAGCCATTGGTGAGGCCCAGGTTCAGAGACCATGTGTCTAAATGAACTAAGAAAAGAAATAGCCGGTTGTGGTGGCGCACGCCGGTAGGATTTGCTGAAGGAGGCAGAGGCAGGAGGATCACGAGTTCGAGGCCAGCCTGGGCTACACATTTTAAAAAAGAAAAAAAAAAAGAAAAGAAATAAGGTGGAGAACAATCAAGAGAGGCACCTACCGTTAACCTCTGACCCTTATGTGTATATCCACACACACACACACACACACACACACACACACACACAATACATGGCTCTCATGATCTAACCTGTGTTGTGGATATGCCACAGAACTACATGATAGGCTGGAGAAGCCACACTAAGACCGTGACTCTCCTCTGCTCACTCGCCCAGCGATGGAGAATGGGTGGTTACTTCACTGGCTCTTCCAAAGTCATATGGCACACATAATGTCGTGGAAGCCAAATGCCTTCTGCTGTCAGCCAAGACTGGGGAGAGTGGTGTGGCCACCCTGGAGTCTGCTCTTCAGGATCCACTGCTCTGAGATCCCTCTCTTTGGGGGTTGGATGTGCCAGTGTGGGGGTAGCCCAGGCCTCCCTCCTCTCTGCATCTGGCACTTTCCCAGGCAGTGGAGCAACCAGTCTCATACCCTGTGACTAATTACCCATAAACAATTCCCACATGCCAGGCCGGGAAGGGAAATCGCTGATAGACCTGCGAAGTGTGAGCATGGTTACTAACCTGCTGCATCTAGGCAGCTTTTCCAGGCCACGAAGGTGTAGGCAATTGTTCAGGGTAATGTTGATCTTCCCTTGAGAAGCAGAGGCAGTGTCCTGGGGGGCCTGTCTCCTGTTTCCATCTGAAGGTCAGAGCAGAAGCAGTTAGAGACTCCGCCCACTTTCCTGTCTGTTCTTGCAGTTTGGGCATTACCTTTTGATTGGCACAGTAGCACTCAGGTTTTCCGTGCCTGCCCCCAGGCCCTGGGTTCAGACTCTACAGTTCCATTCATCGGGAGAACTGGAGGAGGGCCTAAGAGCTTCCAAGTCACGTTTTTATGAGTGTTGCTTTCCTGGCTCTTGCATCTGCTGGGCCCCCAAGACATCATCTAACAAGAGCATCTTCAGTCCAGCCATTATTAGCCTGTGGGTTCTCAGAATCGTCCATGACTCATTAGTGGCCAGCAAACCAACTGAATGGGCTGTGGCCAGATTTTCCTTGAAAAACTTAGCTTGAAAGAAAGGATGTTATGGTGTGACCACATCTCTGTGTTACAGGTAGAAAAGACACAATGTAACCTAGCATGTTTCCCAGTGAGGCTCACAGAAGGACGTGGGCTGCTGAGTCGCCAGCCAGCAATCGAGTTGGTTCTAGAATCAACACCCTTTTGCTGGTACTGTGTTATTTCCCAGCAGTACTATTCAAGTCAATCAAGTACTCCCCTTCAAACAAAGGCTATCGTCACACATAGCCTGTGTGGGAGCATAAGGATCTGAGGGAGTGTGAGAAAAACTTCACGTTTTCTTTTTGTGAAATCCCTGTAAGTGTGTGACCTCAAGTCAGCATCCTAAAGTTCCCCAAACTCTGTAGGCTTAGTTTACAAGTTGTATAAAAAGGCTTGGTGGTGTTGCTCAGTGATACTGTGCTTGCTTTATATATATAAGGTCCTAGGTTCAATTCCCAACACAAAACACACATAGTGTACACACACACACACACACACACACACACACACAAACATACTCTCTCTCTCTCACACACACACATACAAACACATGCTCTCTCACACACTCATATATAAACAAACATACACACTCTCTCTCACACACACACACACATACACACACACTCACACACACCAACTATGTTAGTTATCTCAGGGAAAACTGTTTGGAGGTATTGTGTAAGAAGCTCGAGGACATGCGTATGCTGTGCCTATGCTGTGTATGGCCTGAATGAGCAGACAAACCTGAGGTCATCATCTCTATGGATAATTTGGGAAGTGTGTACAATATGATTGTGTCAGGCTATGAAGGCACAGGAAAAACATGTGACAGTGAGATAATCTAGGAGAGATAGGGCCACTGGGAGAAGACCTCTCTCAGTGAAAGGAACCACCTGTTTCACCAGGAGCTTTCTATATGAATAATTTTGTGGTAGGACAAATGACTTTCAGAAGCTATCACTCCGAAAGTGTCTCCTTGGACATCAGGAGGAGGATGAATGTGTTTGACATGGCTAACTCTATGTCCTCACGGTCACTGTTCTGTATCCACCTGCCACCTCTGATCCACTGGCTGAGATCTCACACAGCCTTGCCACGTGAAATCATAGTGACAGAGAGTGCCATTGCATTCCTACAGCATTTGTCCTACAACACAGTCTGTTTTCAGAGTGGATGGGGGGAAGGTTTATTTCTGGGGTCTCCCGAGAGAGAGCTTTATGTAGAATGAGAACCGCCTTCTGCCTCTGTAGGCTGCTCCTCTCCCACAATCTCTCTCCATACCTCTCTTGAAAGCATCCAGACCTTTGTGGGAAGATACGGCTTCCCACCAGGAGCTCAAAGCTAAAGCCACGAGCTTGAGCTGTTTAGGGAACCATGCACACACAGGTGCAAGGATGTAGTATGTACGGGAGAAGCTGGGGCCTCTCAGAGGAGTGAGCCTTCAGCTGGGCCTTGAAGAGCAAAGACTCAGATTGATGGGGAGACAGCAGGAGCTGTCCCTCCATCGGTGGCAGGCATTCTCTGCCAACTTCGTGCCCTCTTGCAGCTGCTAGTCTGTGATCACTCTCTAGGTGTGCCCACCTTCTCACTCGGGCAGCAAAGAGGACCCATGCATCTGACTCTTTAGCTCCACACTGAAGAGGCGTTGACAGTTCAGTCCACCTAGCTGCAGGTAGAGCTGCCGCCAGCAGGGTTGGCATGCCACAACTTGCTGGCCTCTTCCAGCCCACCTAATATATATCTTTTCCTGTGTCCTATTTGTTTAAGAGCTCTTTCCAGCAGGTAATTGTGGTATCTCCGCGCCTTTTCTTTTTGTAATTACAGGTATTGTAGGAGGTGCGGGGAAGAAAGGATGTGTTTCTGGTATTACAGGACATGTTGCAAAAAGCTATGGTTTAAATGCATGGACTTGGATTCCAACACTTGCTTCCTATGTCCTACTTGCATTTGCTGCCTTAACACATTTTGCTAAAGGGTCCAAGAGAGGTTTCCCTTCCCAAACTACCATGGAAATGTTACATTAGAGAAAGCAGCACTTTGGTTAGTGTTGAGTTGGAGTTGCATCACCCGTTCTATTACAGGTGGACCCTAATCCCCTTTCATCCCTCTGTCCACACCAAGCTCCAGCATCTGCCATGCCATTGTGAGCCAGTCATTCTGTTGACCTGACTTGAGAAGACCTCCATGGGACTAGAGGGATTTGAGCAGATGGGGATTCCCCTTGTAAAAGGATTCCCCTCCCCAGCTGCTGAGAACTCACACAGGGGAGTGATTTCCCTCGAGTTGGCTTGTTAAGTAACTGCAGAGCATTTCCCAAGCCTCATCTGTCAGTGGGCTCCTGTGATGTGGGAAGTCCAGCTTGTAACATCT